GGGCCATTTAGTATCAATACCTTGAATAACTTCATTCTGAAAGTGCATCTAGTCAGTCTCCTAAAGGACTCCTAAACGAATTCCGTTCACAGTCATATTTGTGCAACTTATCTTGCATTAACAAGGCTGTGGTTTCATATGACTGAACCCACGGATATGGAACATGGAAAAGGCAAGGGAAACCTTGAATATTTACCAGTTGGGCAATAAACTGAGAAAGAAACACTTATATTTATGCCAGCCTAAATAAACTTTGAAGCGTAAGAGAACAAGGTTCAGAGTTCCAAAGCACTGAGGATTCACTGACAGGAACATGTGTCATTAGGACTAATTTTAAGGTCCTTCCAACTACATGCTGTTTATTGTTACAAATGCATGAGGTTTGATTAAAAGAAAAGTATCAAACATTTTGCCAGTGACACAGAAGTTAACTCTGCTGGTTACTTCAATGGATTTATAACTTGTTCGTAATTACTAGCACCAGGGTATTTCATCGTAACTTCAGATACAAAGCAGTTATTTTCCCCACTGTACCCTCTCTGCAAAACCCCCATGAACGCAAGGAGATACAGAATGTGCACAGCACCGACCCCACGCAAAGATGTACAGGGGAAAAAAGCAAAAGCACTTAATGGCAGCAACATTGAACTCCTGGGAGTTCAAAAAAAGTTCCAGGGAATTCAAGGGACAACTCAGCAGTGAATCTTCACACATTAGGGTGTACCTGCTGACCTGGAGCAGGGCTGTACACAAAGTGTACGGCTGTGGGTTTTGTTTTGTTTATAAACACCCCTGTGTTGTAGCCACCTGACACCAACCAAAGGGAGAAAGGCCTAAAGCAGCTTCTGGATACACCAGCATTAGGGAGGAATATTAAGAAAGGAATAAGGAAGGAAAGGTGAAAAACCCATCCCTCTGGTCCATGGCATGGAGATGACTGGGGAATGATACAGTCTGCTGCCTCATACAGGTCAGGAAATAAAAGGCAAATGAAATTTTAGGAGCTTGTTTCAGAAAAAAAAGATACCTGTTCACACAAAGTACAGTTAAAGGGTGGAAGGCTTTACCACAGGACACAGTAGGTGCAAAGAGTGCATGTGGGTTCAGAAAAGATTAGCTACATTCACAGTGCAAAACAACTCACTACTGATCAGACAAATCACGAGTCAAACGGATTTCTGGTCTGACCCAACGCGGTTCTTGAATAGTTCTAGAAATACTGGGAGTGTTTGCAGAAAAATCCCAAACCAACTGTACATATTTGCAGAGGGGGGGCAGAAAACTCTGGGGGAACGTTTTACAATATAGTGACAGACTTCTGGGATGCTTTGAGAGGGATCTTATTTACAGCAGCCCCTGAGAATGCACTGCTCACTGGAATAAGCAGTAGCTTGGTAGGAAAGGTTATTTCACACATGATACAGAAAACATACTCAGCAGAACATTATCACTATCTTAGGAATGATCCCGCAGTCAGAACAGAGTATTTTTCCCTCGTTGTGTATTAGCTAGATCAAAACCTCACTCTGCCACACCTCTGGGAACTGTGCAGCAGTGGCAGAAGGGAAATACTAAACACATAAAAGAAAGATGGCACAACTCAAAAACCATGAAGGAAACATTGTGGTGATGCACTGTCCCCACCCCCCAGCTCTCGGACCGCTCCAAGGCCTATGAAATTCCCAGGTGGCCATGGTGCAGTGAGTTTGGCAGTTAAGTGTCTCTTGACTGTACTCTTGCAATGCAACAGTGGGGAGCAGCACGGACCGTCCCAGGAATTCGTTCTCCTAGCCACAGTGCGTACCAGGAATTCGGTTACCTTGCCTCGGTGGGGAATAAGAATGGAATAATTAATCATCCCTGGCAGCCCAGGAACAACTCGGGTAGGTTGGTACCAGCAACTACTGGCAACGTGAGAATTCAGTAATTACCAACCCGGATTGCAACCAGGGTGGAAATTTCCTGGTGTCCAAAGTCAACCATCTCGCGACTCTATAAACAGCATTCCCAAGCAAGGCCCTTAGAGCTCTCCTGGAGCGCAGCGGGCTGGGCCCAGCATCTCCCCCCAACTGGGACACCACTCAGAGCTCGCAAACTCTCAAGTCTGTGAAACTGGAGGACCGTGGTGGAAGACCAACAATGGGACCTGGGTTGATACTCCGCGCCTTGAGGCTCAGCCCTTCGCCCGTTGAGAGATACAAACGCATCCAACGTAAATTCTTGTACTGAACTCAAGGGGAAATTTTAATAGGTCTGTCTTTGTACACACATCTATCCCCATATCCACATCTATAACCTCCATGCCTATGCAATTTGATTTTAAGAACTTTAAGTCTTTAATTAAGTTGTATTAATTCATCGATGATTGAATTCTGCTAGAAAATTATACAATCTAATCTTGTGATTTATCTTAATAGTGTCAACGAATTTTAAATTGCTGCTATTGGAAAGTAATACAAGATAACAAAATCATACATTAAATCACCACGCTGAGAACCCCACACCTAATCCCTTTAGACATAAACCGCTGATCACATCCAGAACTAGGAGCAGGTTCACCCACTGCTCTCTGTGGAGTTTAGAAAGCAAGGGGGTCCCACTCTAAACCTCACAACTCAACAGGAGGGTCTCCCTCATCTTTTCCCCCTAATCCCTACATCTATCACACCAACCTGGTGCTGACTCCATTTCCCTGACCCCATGTAAGTCACTTCCCCCTATCCATGTGTAAATCACTCTAACACAATGCTGATTTGATTTCACTTTCATATGCTTTTTCTGTGTTGACTAAGTGACAGAGTGGACGTGCCCATCATTTTTCACAAATAATCTTAAAACCACTTTTTCATCTATTATCTTCGATGCTGGTCTTTTAAACCACTCATTCACAACAAACATCAAGTACTAGTTTATAAGCACTTTTTCTGTCCATGCCTTTAATACCTGTGTCACAGTTTATTCATCTATACAATATTAATAACAAAGCATCTGAAGAGGCTTAAGTAATTTACTACTTGTAGACCACTTGAAGACACCCACTGAGTAACACCACATGTGTCAACTGAAAATCAGTGTTTTAGCTTTCCTTTGGAGAATCTGCCCTTCGGTGTCATGGTAAGATTTGCCTTCCTTTGCAAAAAGTGAAAACACTTGCAGTACGTGAGGCTGAGTTTCAGCTCTCAGATGCTCACATGAACCTTTGCTGCTAGCCCCAAATGCCGTGTAATACATAGGCTCATCCCTGTGACTGGCACTGAAAATAAACCATCACTCTTCACACTATTCTTTCACCCTCCTACTTTGCAACAAGTACAGAAGCCGTAAGCAAAGACTCGATCGCATACCTCTCTGAAGCTAAAAAGTGTAACACTGCATCTCAACGGATTACAACAGACTCCACAGTAAATGGTACTGCTCCTCCTCAGGAGCTAGCTGAGTGCTGCTGCGGATGTTGCTTAAGGAGCCGGAGTTAGGGAAGGTAAGTTTAAGCAGCTTAATGTAGGCCTTTGCTAGCCCACTCAGGATGCAGGAACCGCCGTGTGAGCAGCTCAGCAGCCGATACTGAGGCAGAAGAAGCCCCAAACCACCTCTTAAGGATAATACGCTCTTTAGATGGTACGTCAGAAGCTGAAAGGGGACACATGAACAAGCCCTGTTCTGTAATGCCCTTCTGCCAGGTAACCTGCTGGCTGGCATTTATGGTAAGGCGAACTCTGTTTCCACCCGTTTGCTGATGGAGGGCACAAGCCCTGCCGTACTCGCTCTCCCCTGTACACCGCAGCAATTATGGCAGAGGGCTCTGGGCCTGTAGCAGACTTATACCTCTGAGCAACCACATTTGGAGACCCCATAACCTGGCCTTTCGTAATCAGTCAGGTACTGATACTGCAGACCTTGCAATGTAACATTTTAAACACAATGGATTCATTTAAGATTTTTAGAGCTTGCTTTTTATTATTTATAAAATGACTGGCATATGGTACTCAGAGCTCAAGAAGGTACGAACTAGTAGATGGGTATTTGTATTTCAGTATGGCATCTGCAAACAACATTAATTATCCTCTATTATCATTAATCTGTCAGTACCTACTTCTGCCAGTTATTTCCCTTGACTTTCCCCAATCTGCACCTTGTTACTATCTGATGTTTCATGTTTCTAAGGACAGGAGACTTCGGCTGCTTGAAACTGGCAGCAAGTGATTTACATTTGGGCTTTGTTAAATTGACAGCGAGCATCATTGAGACCAAATGTAACAGCCAGACTGGAGAAGGTTATAAAAAACTGAAGTGGCAAGCATTTCTCCTTTTATCTGACAGTTATTATTAAAAAGCCGTATGTCATTCTGTAACACACAAAATGTAAACACAGGGGACAGAGGTAGAGTTCCACATCGTGAACGGAGCACCTTCCCTCTACTGACAGTCTACTTCCTATAGATGGGCCAGAACTAAATTGAAGCTCTAACTGAACAGTTTATCAGCAGCTGCAGACATCACACCTCCCCTTACTGCTGGATGCAATGCCTCAAAGGCAGCACCTCTGGCCAGGACCCCCAGTGTTGAGATTGGTGCTGTTTTCAAATTGCTATAAAACCGTCCCAGAAGTAGCACCCCCATCCCTGTAAGCATGCCCAGCTACTGTAGCTGGAGCAGCAAATACACCTCCATAACTAAATCCTAGGATACTTCAAGGACTGTTCATTAACTGCAACTCCCCACCCTCTCTGTGAAGAATTTCTTCCTGATATCCAATCTAAACCTCCCCACTTTCAATTTAAACCCGTTACCCCTTGTCCTATCACCACAGGCCCTTGTAAAGATTCCAAATAATTGAGAGGAAAAAAGAACCTCAAAACGTTTTCATCACAACTTAAGGCTGGCCTCACTTTGTACATCTTTGGGTTCAACACTAAGGCTGAAGACTTCTGTTTCAGAAATTTCATTCTTAGAAATTAACAAAAGCATCAGTAAAAATGCACCACCGTCTCCCATGTACTCACTTCCTTTAGCCACAGCAATTTAGGTGGCTGCATTTCCACAGACATCACTCCCCCTACATAGCTCAGAACCCTGTGCTGCGTTGCATTGATGCGCTCAACTTGACTGACTGCACGATGGTCCATCCACATAATAACATTCCTGTAGTTCTGCCCTTAGGGAAAAGATAAAGAAAATAGAGATTATTTTAGGTCTGGTTTACACCCACCTCAGTACTAGACTAGTTACTAGACTCTAAGCTGCTTCACACTTTCACTTGTACAAAGAAAAACTTAAGGTTTTTTTGCATTAATAATCCACAGTATATATCTAAGGATAACATTCTAGCCCGCTGTGCTAACTTTAAGATATGGTGAGCACTGAGAATGCTGACTGCAACCAATCACGCTTGCGAGCATCAAAGAACTTGGAAATACCATGTTCTGTTGGACTATTTCATTCAAAGCACCCAAACTTCTTGACAAAGTACACATATTTAGCTAAAAATTAAAAGCATTTTGGTGACTAAGAACTAAAAATGTGACAATGTCAGCAATTATAAGCTAAAATTAAATCAGCTACTCAGCTGATAGTTACAGGGGTTCTCTTTCCTCTTCCATTGCTATGAGAAGAACTAACCTAACTCCTTTCAGAAATACAGTTTCAGGGGGATAATTTGCTGAAATGCTTTTATTTTGGATGTGGAAGGAAAAAGCATTTGGCAAGCCTGTGTAACACATGATAACAAGAAGCAAAGAACATTTTCTCAAAATTAACCTACAGAGGGACCTGCTAGACAGGTGGAAAAGTGATCCAGGTGACACTTCAGATCCCTCTCTTGCTGAGTACACAGCGCACTCAGCTCCTGAAACCACACTCCAAGACAAAGCACAACTATGAGGCAGACCAATATTTCTGACATGGACTGAAACACAACTGAGAACTGTCTTTTTATTTAACATCACCACCACGTAAACTCCAAGTTCTTGGGGAGATCAGAGAATAAAAAAAGAGAACTGAATTTGACTCAGTAGACCAAAATAGCCTCAGACATCATTAGGCATTGAACAGTTTGTAAGAGACTCTCAAACTGAAAAATAAATAATCTAAATTTAGCAAAGGACATTTTGGGGGCAAAGCTGGTTTTTTGAGAGACAGGAGGAGATGACAAATACATCTGAGAATAGAAAGGGAACGTACACAGAATTGTGATTATGGCTCTGATTTAGCACACACCTGATCTTAAAGATGGGATTCACTGAAAAAATAGTGCATCACAGACTTTTCTTGAGTCTTCTGAATCATCTACACAAAACCCAATACAAAAATGAACACTTTTAGAAAAAGGTGACAGCTTGTTTCTGAAGTTCAGCACTGTCCAAGCCAAAGACAGACCAGTGTAATAACTGCACAAGCTGAACCTCCTGCCTGCAGCTCCAGGACAGAGTGAGCAGTTAGACGACACTAGGTCTCACATTTTTAACATTCCTTCAGTCAGTACGGATGGGCATTTATACACACTATAAAAGGCAGGATTAGTGAACTCTGAAGGAGGAGAAAACATGCAGAAAAGAAAAATGAGCATAGATTTCTCTAAAAGCAGCAATCCCGAATACAAGTACAGGC